GATTAAATCAGCGGACAGGTCAAATAATCTACGGATGCTCAGGTGACATACGGCCACTCCCTTAATTTCGGTTAGAACCGAGCAGACACCTCAACCCAGAGAGTAAGACGCCGGAGGTTGAGGGGCCTGGGTGAAAGTGTTAGAATGTATTGGGAAGTTAAGTCAATTATGCTTGAAAGCAAAGCATTTGAATTAAAACTTCCAGCATATCGGTGAATTGAACGGTATTTTAAATGCTTTTAAAACATAAAATGCTCACAATTATCATTTTTCCTATCATACTGTCTAATTTTCTAAACAACTGAGAAGTATCCCTCTAAAAATCTATCTTCCTCGGCAAATATTTTAATCAACACATTTATAATGAAATTGAGCAACTGTGAATTCTTACAAACTTAGTTTTTTTGGCAATATTAAGAACTTGTATAATAAAATAATTATATAAAAAAGAATTTCCTTTAAAATGGGTTGAGTCATTAAATTATGTTCAGTCGCAGAAGTTTCAAAGTACGACTCCAGTAAAATAATTTTTATAATGACAATCAGGACAGGAGAATCCAATTAACATATTTTCTTTATACTTCACCTGATAAATTGAGGTCATATCTCTGAAAAAATACGGGAGAAATAATCGGCAAATTACGTTCTAAATCTGAAACCCTACAGTTATCTCCAACGCATAAAGAAAGCTAAGGATTGATGTGTAAACTAATCGAGAAATAAAATAAAAACCACGACAGTTCTCCTTTCAAGACCAATCCTAAATCTCAACGTGAATGACACAGTTTAAATAAAACGAAGGCAATTCGCATTCACTGTTTCTCTTTTGTAGGCATTCGTCTGCAAAGAACGAGATAAATGCAAATAAAAGTACCTACTTGCAACATGAAGTCACGCTACAATCAATCGCTTTACGACGAAAACAATGTTAATAATTGCAACGTAATATAATTGCTTTATTTTTCCTCGCTTTCTCTCGCTTCAACAAACGAGGGTTGGTCGTTGTCTGCATTTTGTCACTTTAATGATCGTTTTCATTCGTTGTTGGCGTCATTAAAATGGACAGATTTGTATAAAGTTAGACGAGACAGTGATCATAACAATATCCAGAAAGACTATCTTCATCGTTACTAATATATAAATATCCGCTGAATAATGAAGTTTCCCTGCACATCAATCTACGTGAGCGTACGTCCATACTAATCTATTGCAAAGCAAGACGTCTTCTTCTTCTTCTTCTTCTTCTTCTTCTTCTTCTTCTTCGCCTCTACTACTCCATCCCCCTCCTCCTCCTTCTGTGTGCCGTGTTCTTTCAGGACGATGCCGAACATGGTTCTCCAAAATTTCCTCTCTTCTGTAGTTTTTAATAAATTCTGGCTTTGTGTTATCTCTCCTAAACCATGTTCTGTCATCGATTTACTCAAGCCCGTCGGTTACATTATGCTTTGTTTTCCTCCGTCCCTCTTGCCTGCATTCTATCCTGTGAGCATCAAATTTTCCAAGCCGTCTTTCCTCAATACGTGCCCTACACATTTCAAATGTATCTTTCTGATGTTAAGTACAAGTGACCTTTTTGTTTTCATTTTCTCTAAAGCTTCGTCATTGCTCACATGTTCGGCTCATGGTATTTTCAGTAACTTTCTGTAGAACCACATTTCTGTTGATTCAAGTCTCTTCTAACTGTGATCAAATTGTGCTAACGAAATTGTTCTGTTTCTTAACATTTTGCTTAGATTTTGGATGGCATTTTTATCCCAATATGTCTTCAGATTTCAGTGTCGCACTTTCGGTCCTCTGTTAAAACGTATCTCAGATATTTAAATTGTCGTATTTGTTTGATTTTAGTATCTCCAGTGTATAATTTGCATGTTGGGCTACCCCTTTTGCTAACAACCATCCATTCCGTTTTCTTATAATTGATGTTTACACTTCACTACTTCCTGTAGGAGTTCTTGTAGTTTTCTTTTTATGTCTGCTATAAACACGGTATCATATCTTATGTTGTTAAGCTTGTTGCTACCAATAATGAGTTTTGTTAGGACCTCTAATTCTCTCATAATCGACTTTATGTATCGGTTGAATAAGTCCGGTGAGAAGACGCATCCTTGTCTTACATCCCTTTCTATTTTTGTATATCTACTGAATTCATTTTCTATCCGAATGTATGAGGTTTGCTGCCATATAGTTTCTGGATTATTCTAATATCCTTCCCAAATATGTTATTGTTACCTAGTCTTTTGAACCGACAGTAAGGATAGCACAAAGATATTTCTTTAATGTTAAAATAGTGTAAAATCATTTACGAGAAATGACGAAAGGAATAGAATATAAGGCATTTTTTCAATCAGCACTTTGACCTCAGTAAATATAACGATAATTGCAAAGTTAACGCGAAGTAAAGGAACCCACAGCTAACTTCGTGGTCACCAAACTGTTGTTACTAGGTCAGAGAGTGTGTGTTAAACAGAAACTAATAGCGTTGAGAAAATAGACAAACAAAAGAGTGAAACAAAACGGGATAGTAATATTTATTCTATCGGCAACATCTTTCATGTAGAGGAAATCTCAAGGAATGTTTTTGAATGTCTCAGTAGATAATGAAGGAAAAATTGTACATAGCTGATGAATTTGTGGATGCGTCAGGTGTATTGTCTACGTCACGTTGCGTCTATTGCACAGAGTGCTAACTTTAGCGTCCTGTCAACACGTCGATTCGAGATGAAAGTGAACTAGCCTCTTTCGATCGACATTATGCGTGTTCAGATTTGTTTTATTTTTACGCAGGCCCAAAAGCTGAAATAGGGTATTTTCGTTGACAGGATTTTTCAGGCATTAGCGTCTGGCAAAATGTTTTAACGACTGCTAAATAATCTATCATTATAATTTTTCTGGTCCTTCCCTTGTTGTGGCCTTGTTAGGGCCAGAAATAAAGACAAAAGAGAGGAATTGAGTTAACCAAATCTATTAACAGAAGCCGTAATACAAACATATCCAAACGAGAGTGTTACAGCAAGAATGTTCGGTCCGACTTTCTGAGATGACTGTTGGAAAGTTCCCTCTCCAAAAGGCAGTACCTGCTCCTATTTATAGCTGGAAGAGTCCATGCGTACGTGGGTAAATTGCCATAACACCTTCGTTAGCACGACCATTATGCTCTGCAAATACCTCATAAATTATGGACTATTCTGTTTTGATCGCGTCGAAAGACGGTAAAAACATATAACAAAGCGACTACTTGGTTTCAGTGAGAAAATAAAAGAAAGAAAGAAAGAAGAAGGATATAGAAGTATTTAACGTCTCCCGACAGTAGCTAATAAATAATGGACTATTCCGTTTTGATCGTGTAGAAAGACAAAAGGCATATTAGAGAGGCTATTTGATTTCAGTGAAAGAGAAAGAAAGAACGTGTTTAACATCTCCTATTAATAGCTAAAATATAATGGACTATTCCATTTTGGTCGCGTAGAAAGACAAAAGACATATCAGAAAGACTACTTGGTTTCAGTTAGAAAATGAATGAATGAAAGAAAGAAGTGTTTAGCGTTTGCTTCAATGAAATTAAAAAGTTGTCAATTTCAAATCTGAATAAAATAATACCTCTAATAAAACAATAATAGGCAACAAACAAGTGAAATATTATCAGAGCTTTATTTTTCTATGCAAATGAAATACACATATAATCTTTTAGACAAGAAAAACATATCTTTTAGTTATTTCCCTTGGAAGCATGTCCTCTGTTATTGATTTGACACTAAAATGTAAAACTTAAGAGGAACACTGAGTTATTTTCAGCAGAATGCATCTATAGCGCAATTAATATTATAAATAAACTTCCAACAATAGTTGCAACATTTTGATCTGCTATTTATTTACCCTTTTATAATAAAGTTTCTTATTTACCAATACGACAAAACAAAATAAAACAAAACTAATTTCAATAGGAGTAGACAGGTTCGCCTATCGTCCGATTCATACACCTCGCAGGTCTTTTTGATTGGAGTAGAGATTATCGCTTTTGTTTCATGTTTAGGATTGGATTTCCGGTTCCTTTTAAAGTCTACTTCAACTCTATACTTCTAACGTCTACGCTTAAACTCTGTTTTCTTATTTACTATTTATTTTTATTTTATTTTTTCCTCAATAGAAGTAGATAGAGACGCTTATCGTTCAGTTCACACCTTTCCCTGGTCTTTTGAACAGGAATAGGGGTTTATCCATTATTTCCTGTTTCGGATTGGCTTTCCTGTTCCTTCGAAAGTCTTCTCATTCTCTTTCACTCCCAGTAACCCCTTGCGTCTTAGTGGCATTATCACCTTGCCTGGGCTGGAAATTGATTGTTATTAACAAGTGGATGCTTTTTAATTAAGCAGCAGTAAAATGTAGTAAGTAGTCTAAAATGTTTGACACAAGAGAAAGTTCTAAATCAAGTAGGAAGCAAGTGTATTAACTCAGGAACTAATGTCTTATGATTATATAGGCATGAACGTATAAACATAAATTCAAAAATAAAATTAACAAATTTGCTTGAATCTTCAAGTTGCTTCTTTAAATGTTTTACCAAATTTAGTACATACACTTATTTGAAGCGTCCTGTGTATGACGATAAACTACACCCGGAAGCAAGGACTGGTAGGTTTTGAGGAGCGTGGAACCACCTCTTAACTGCTGTTGTTCCCAGGCCCACACTGACCCGGGGTGGTAGAACTTGTTAAGGTCCCAACTATGGGTAAATAGTTAACCTCCAAACTTGGGTCAAAACACTATGAAAGTGTACATTTTTACAGTAAAAATACCAGCAATACTTTTCTGTAGGAAAAAAAAAAAAAAAAAAAAAAAAATTACCAGCAATACATTTAAAAAGAAAGAAAAGAAATTGCCAGAAATATAATTTTGTAAGAGAAATTGCTGCTACTCCCAAGAAAATTAAATTTCGGCATTAGATGACCCATAAAGAAAATAAAAAAAACAAAAACTTATTTTAAACGTTCTTGAGATAGACTTCCGGTCATATCACGTTGTAACACTAATTCTCGTGCGATCACCGAAGTTAAGCAACGTCAAGCCTGCTCCGTACCTAGATGGGTAACTGCTTGCGAATACCAGGTGCTGTAAGCTTGGTGCAATGGATAACAGCTCGGAATTGAAAACTAGAGAGCGAAGTTCTAATTCTAGTCGGGTTCATTATTTTTAATTAAGCGCAAATACTCTTGGGAAAGTTATGAATTCACCTCTTCCTCAAGCAATGGGTTGATTAGTACGACTTATAACAGTAAATCTTATTTATCTCCAAAAAAATTCTTACAATGTAAAATATTGTCTGGCTATAAATAACCTACAAAGGGTTGATAATCCGTAAAAATCAAATTAATCTTTATAGAAATTGATATGTATCTGATTTAGAGCAAGTTAATTCTTTTTAGTAAATGTCATTACTCAAGGTTTACAGGGGGCGAAGAAAGTATGCGTGCGTTGATTGAGAAAGACTGGTCTGCAGTTTCAGTTGTCGGTTAGTTTTGATCTCTATCCGCTTCGCTTGTCTCTTTGGTGCATGCAAGTCGTTTGACAGAGACATTTTGAGTTGATTTACTACGAACTGTTTCTAGCAGGCACAAACTGGAAGGTTTTAGAATTTACTCAAAGAAACAGGGATTGGTTGAAAATATTCTTTTTATGTCTCGTCATCTTTTTTCTTCTACGTCCACTAAGTTCTAATCTTATTTAATATTTTAAGTTTGAAAGATTCTTTTTCCTGCAGTTTGATCCTTTTTGGGTCCCACTTTTTTTTACATTTTTTTTTTTTTTTAAGCATTGTGCCCCAAGCAAGGCGTGAAGCCACTAGGATGCAGGGGGTTTGGAGCGAGAGCAGATAAGAGTGATAGGAGAAAGGAAGAGGAGAAGGATAGTGGGTAGATCAAGGTAATTGGAGATGTCGATTGACATTACATTTGAATAGTTGGAGATTATAGCTTTCAGGGAAACAGTAATTGGGGAGGGTGTTCCACTGGCGAGAGGTGCGAGGTATGAAGATATTGGAGTAGAAGAGACGGCTACATTTGAAGGTTTCTACGGTGTAAGGGTGAGAGCGGGATGCCAGCCTCGTAGGGCGCTTGAATTCATGGAGTCTGGGAACCAGAGAGAGCAGCTCATCAGAGCAGTTACCATGGAAGTATTTGTAGAAAAGACAGAGAGAGGCGACGGCGCGTCTGTGAGAGAGTTACTGCAAGCAAGACGCTAGATGAGGGCCAATTAGATTACATATCCTTCTCTGGATCTTGTCGAGAACTCCGAGGTAAGCGGAAGGTGCTCCAGCCCATATATGGCAGCAATACTCCATGCAAGGGCGAATGGTTGTTTTATATATTTAAAGTATCGATTCAGGGGAGAATAATTTCCTGGCGCGGCACAGAGAGCCAACTTTCCTCGCGGTGGAAGAAGCAATTGACTCAATGTATTTGTTCCATCTCAGGTCAGCAGTCAGCGTGAGACCGAGCAGACGCAGGGAGTTGCTCTCAGGAAGTTGACTATCAGACATTTTAATGGGGGGCAGGGAAGGATCTCTATGGTGGTTAATGGAGAGTAATTTAGTGGCGTTAAAGTTGACCAGCCAATTCTTGCCCCAGTTAACAACCGATTGGAGGTCCATTTCAAGACGCACGGCCAGGTTAGTTTTGTCGCCGACACTATGTCTCTAAAATCTTTACACACTAGCTATTTTAATTTTCAATTTTTGAATATTATTACGCATATTAGTGCTGGCAATGAATTCCAGAGATTCACAACATTCATGGATTATTTTCTTTATTTATTCCAAAAAATTAGGAAAAAATAATCTCGATTTTTATGTAGCGTTTAAGTATTAGAATGGTTAAAGCATAAGAAGGTAGCTTTTGTTTTCATTTGGAGTAAAAATTTTCGGCAATGTTTAACCTTGTAGTGAACAAAACAAGATCTAGATTTAAAATACAAATGCTCATTGATTTTGTTAGAAATTAAAAAAGACTCGAATTTAAAAACATTGCTTAACACACACGCAAAAGTGAATACAAAACAAAACTCGTAAAATTTCACACCTTGATGCGAAATGTTTATCGGCCGATAGAAAACTAGGAAACATTTAAAAACAAAATTCAAATAATCTTCAATTCTCAGAAACAAATTCTTTCACGGACCTTTTCGCGAGCCGACGCAAAAATTTGTTCATCGTCCAATGAAAAAGCCTGAATCATATCCTGGAGTAAATTCCCAAATGACTTTTTCAAGCCCCACAAACAAAATAAAAGACGGGCAAGTTCGTGTGTCACCAGAAAGGTAGACAGTTCCCGAACCCGATTATGCGGGTTCAAAGGGGATATTTTTTGGTTGAGCCTACGGGATCGGAGAAACCCACTTTAAACTCGGCCTTGTGTCACATATATTCCCCGTGGGTGGAATTTTAAATACTGAAATACTGAGAAGAGGAGACGAGCGTATTAACACGTCCCTTGACAACGTCAAGCGAGCGTTATTATTATCTCTACCATTCTCCCTCACCTCTCTTATACTTGATAAACTAAAGAAACATTTAAGACTGAGCGATTACTTCAAAGACATTCCTACCCTACGTTAACGCTCATACATACATCCACACATACGTTCCTACCTACGTAGACATAAACTCATTCTTGCAAGGACTACTACGAACATTTTGACGACCTTGTATCAACCAAAATACATTAATTTTATTTGTAAAGACCTTAATTGATTTATATGTATATAAATTTGTTGTTCACTTTACAATTTGATTTTCTTGTTTTATACACCTCTTATGGTGGGCTATCTAACTAACAAGGCCAAAATCAAACTAACCTGTTTCCACACTCATGCACTTCACTTTAACTGATAACCCACTATAACCTTGATGCACGCAAAAAACCCCAACAAAACACTGTGTCAAAAGGACGGCTTTCCCCTTGACATTACTGTTATTTTGTATTAACTTCACTCCCTCGGCAATGTTCATTTACAAGATTATAAAAGTTTGTAAACCAATTACAATGCGATATTTATTTACATTATTTACATTATGGCATAGTGGATAAAGGCGTTGGTTAGATCCAGTGACAGGACCCAAAATGTGTGAGTTCAATACTCGGTTAAAGCAGTGGAGAACTTTCAGGGGGAAAATTAACAGGAGATAACTGATAACTGACATCCATCAAACATGGCACGTGGAACTAGAACAGTCTACCCCAGTGAGCGAAATAAAGGGTTCAGTTCGAAATTCCAACCACCTGAAAATGCCGGAGCGTACAACGGCCGAAACGTTGTAATAAATATGGCGACAAAGATGAGGACAATAGTTCGAATAATGTAAATAATGTACATAATACCTAATCTCAGAAATATAGAGCGATATTTATTATTTATCATTTCATAAAGAAATAAATGTAAAAAGAACCTTTTCTAGTCATTTTTTTTAGATTACAAAAATATCAATATATGTAAACCATCTACAGGGTGCCAAGTAAAAAAGCGGCAAATTTATTATCACTGTTTTATCTTTCAGGGATAATTGACATTGAATAGATTTCTTGAATATTTATGACCTTGAATAATTATTCGACTCTTGCGTAATTATTTAACTCTAATTAGTGCTTTTATGATCGTTTCATTGCTGTTCGACATTGTGTCTCGTTATTTAAAGGTTATTAGCAGACAACTTTCGCCTTTCGTTCTGCCTTTCTCGTATTGCTAAGCAACTCATTGATTTGGAGCGTCATATAATCGTATTTTTCAAAGAAGCACATCCGACGTGGGGATCGACGAAATGTGCAGAAATTCTTCCTGAATTTTTCAGTCACATCAGTCGTCACCAGTTTTCAGCGGTTGTCTCACGTCTTTCTGAATTTACCGCTTTTTTTTACTGGGTACGCTGTAGTATGGAATGTTTAACTGATAAACTGCTATAAATTCATATCTTCACCGCATAGTATAAGATGAGATTAAAGTAGATTTTGTCTCTGTGTTCATCTTTGTTGCACTGACGAGGTTTGAAATTGGTTATACATTCTCTTTAACGAATTAGTAAAATAGATGAACTCACTAAACCGTTGGTGCAGATGTTCACTTTAGGATTCAAAATGGCTTTTATGCTTCATTACAGCTGAGGATTTTCAGAAAATATTAATATGGCTGTCTCTCAAATAAAAAGAATAAGAATTTTGCATGGCGTATTAAATATTCCCTCTCGAAGATAGTTTGATAATGTTACCGAGTATTTGAAAAGGATTTTAATAAATAAAATATCCTGATGATAGTTGACAAATGCGTACATATGAAAAATAATATTCATCAGTAGAATTGTTTAGTTTGTACAGGGTGCAGCAAAATGATCTGACACATTTGTAGGTTTAATAAAAGAGAAATAGTCAAGTTATCATACAATGCAAATATTTATTTACCATTTTATAAATAATTATGAAAACAAGTTGTTTATTCATCATTTTATAAAAAAAATGAATTCTAAAAAAAATTAAATAATCATTCGACTCACGCGTAATTACTTAATAATGATCGGTTCTTTCATGTTTGATCAATTTCTTCTCGATTTTGTGTCTCGTTATATAAAGGTTATTTGCAGACAACATTCCTCTTTCGTTCTTCCTTAACGTATGGTTAAACAACTCACTGATTTTGAGCAAGTTATCGTATTTTTCAAAGAAGCATATCTGACGTGAGAATTGACGAAATGTACAGAAATTCTTCCTGAATTTTTTTCAGTCACATCAGTCGTCGCCAGTTTTCAACGGTTGTATTACGCCTTTCTGAATTTACTGTTTTTATACTGGGCACCATGTTCTTGTAATTTAGTAACATATTCACATAGTTGAAATTTCTAATGCCCTGTTGTAAATATAAAATATGTTGTTTTTTTTCTTCTTCAAGATCATTGTTATCTCAAGTATGAATACCTATGTCATCAACGTAGACTTCCACATCCATCAGTACATTGACCGTTGAAGGCAATTCTGAAACGCTATTTTTTATTAGTAGATTCATTTGCGATATACATGGTGCCCATTGAAATATTTCATTTTTTTTTTATAATCGTGATCTTGAAATCGAAGGACTAAA